CAAATAAGACGCTAAATGGTAAGAGCTGGTCAAATAGAATATCGTCTATATATATTAGATAAGAATGACTAGATACTGGAATTGCATCTCTTGACGCAGAATGGCTTTACGAGGTGCTTGAAATAATTAATTTTGAACAGATCAATCGAGCGTCTGAAATGAGATGGAGTATCTTGAAGCGGGGTCGTGGTAGGTCTCTATGGAAGGCGACCGTGTTTATTTTGAATTTCTCTTTCATCCAGTCGAGCCTGATTCATCATTTCCCTTTAATGCGATATTGAAGCTTAAGCGTAGCGTGGATGGGAAAATGTGGGGGGAGAGCACGCAACCAAATGGGAACTCTGTGAAACTTATGCATTTCATGAGACTTTTCCCTTTTTTTTCACTTCTTTTTCTTGAAAAGTACCCCCCTTCCAACGCTAGCTGCTGTATTGAAGAACAGAATTCTCCTTACATGCACAAGCATAGAAGACCTGCCCCTCCCTCTTTAGAACCCCGCAATGACGAGGAAAGCCTATTGCCACCTTCTTTTCCTTCGAATATCGACCCTAAAAACAGTTTCTGTATCGTTTGTTTCTTAAACAATAAGCCTAAATTTCAAAGGAAAAGATTCCCTCCCCCCCCCCCCCCCACTTCGCATCCAGGCAAAAACGTTTTAAGAGAAATGCATAAACGAAAAACACATGGCAATTTCCTCATTGCTATGTGGGTCCCGGCAAAAATTCCCCTTGAGAATCAAACCGGATAAGGGTTAAAAATAAAACCTTAAGCAAGTAAATATTGACTCCGCAACTTGTTTATTCATGCGTCCTAAATATATTCGACTTGCAGTCTGGTGACTCTTGAGCTGTGACACCCAGCCGCGATTTTGCACAGTCGCATAGTTGCAATTCCAATAGATTTCACCAAACAGAGCTCTCTCTTGAGAGTGACAATCCAACACGGAAATGACGTATATTCATGGAATGGTTTTCCGCGATGGAGAATGAAATATGACCAAGGGAAAATACAGTGAAAGAAAGGCATGCTGACAAGCAGGGAAAGTCATTGTAAATGGGACAAAGATATACATATTGAACTTCCTTTCCTACCAAACTGACGAACAAACCATGCGTTGCTGACAACAAATTTCATTGGATGGGCACTCGGAATCGCAAGAACTTGGGTTGAGACAGAACTGCAGAGGGACTGAGTGTAGCATGAGATGTTCAGGGTTTGAGATCACTTCCCAGAATGTGGATCTCGTCGAGGATGTAGTCCATGTCAATGGTGGAGAGCGGGGGGACACAGGTGATGACGAGTCGGAAGAAATTCTTCCATCCTCGATGTGCCAGCGGCTGATAGCTGATCATCAAGCTTCCCTTTAGCATCATTCGTTCCTTGATCGCTGGCGCCACCTGAAATTTCCCTCCATCTTTTTTAATTAGCAGCTACATTACACAGGGAAGAAAATCCAGCGACATAATCAGAAATATGTGGGCTTACAATATTTGTTTCTCTGTGAAAAAACCCAGGAAGTGAAAAGAAAAACAAATAAGACGCTAAATGGTAAGAGCTGGTCAAATAGAATATCGTCTATGAATTAAATTAGATTAAATTGTTTGAATTGTTAAATTTCAGAATTGAAGAAAATGAACTGTAAAAAAATCATTGCATGCGAATAAAAAATAGCAAGGTCTATGGAAACCCAAAGAGAAAAGTTAAATTAATCCAAATTATAAAGATGTTTGAAAAAGAAATGACGTGAGGCAGGACAATAAGTGACGGCGACCTTTTCTAGCTTTTCCCACCAGGCCTCGTCTTCATTCTTGCCCCTCAAGGCAGGCGGAATGTACCAGAAGCAGACGTTAGTGCATTCGAATTCCGGCAGGACCAGCCGAAATCCCTCTCGAGACCGTAGCTTCTCAGTCACGTATCTGCATGCACGCATATGCTGTATACTCTTATGTTAAGCCTTTTACTACTATTTTCGTTCGGTGATGCCCTTATTCAGTCAATAAAAAAATACCTTTCCATCTATTTGTTAAGTTTCAACAAAGGTAACTAGGAAATGTACATTACAATTTTTGTTTCTCTGACGATGGATTCTATAATTTAAAAGTCACTGTCGTTTAGCCCATTTTGTTTGCATGAACAGCCGCACCTGTGGGATTTCATCATATACCACTTTTTCTTGGCACTTAGTCTGAATAACGAATTCAGTACCTGGCGCAGTGGAAGGCGTTGTTGATCCTCCATTCGAGTCCGACATCCCCCCTGGCCTTCCACATGAGCCAGAACTTGAAGGCATCCACTTTCCTCCCGCACTGCACGCTTTTGTCTCCCGTGTCGTAGGACACGTCGTAAAACTTGTCTTGTTGGAACAGATACGTCGCCGACGCCGAGTTGCATTCATGCAATAGACCCTGCAGAGAAACTGCTGACTGTGAAGAAGAAGCAATATTTTAATGATACCTAGTGACAGATACTTCTGTGCTGGAGCCTTAGCACCTGTTCCTTTAGGAGGAAAAGAGAGCATTGAAGAGGGGCACCCATCATCTTGTGGGGGTTCCAAGCAAAGCTTTCCACGCCGTCCAGAAGATGTCGATGGGAACGGGACAACAAAACGCTCCCACCCCATGCACCCAAGTATTCATCAGAAATTCAGTTGCAAAAATTTACTTTCAAAATAATATTTGAAACGTTTGAATGTTTACTAGTGATGCTCGCAGGGAATGTAATTACTTATCAATTGGTTGCTAATTAGAATGTGATGCCAATGTTACCTGATAAATGAACTTAGTCGCAATAACAATTGCCCTAATGTGCTATTTATGTAAAGTAAGTACTATATAAGTTGAAATATTGTTATCTGTGACTCTTAACTAGCAAATATTGGTCATGAAGCAAACGTATTGATGATATACAGACATCGACATGGAGCCAGAGTCCATATTTCTTGCAGATGCGAGCGATGGGGCGAAGCGGATCGAAGGCACCCAACACGGTGGTTCCGGCGGTGGCATTGACGAAAAACGCGACCCGGCCTTCCTTCTCCGTCGCCAATATGGATTCTTCCAGGGCTTCGGGTAGCATCCGACCCTTAGGGTCCGTCTTCACCTTCACCACGTTCTCCGTCCCCAGTCCCAGCCAGTGAGCCGCCTTCAGGATCGAATAATCGCTCTGCCGGTAGGAAGAAGATATGCAGGTAAGCTCTGTATATATTGTTAGGGGTTGGGAACCTGCTCATTGTATCCATATGGAGAAATTGCGTTGATAAGGTAAGGGCAAGAGAGGCTCTTATCTTTGGTGAAGTCTCCTGGGATGATCCAAGACCGAAAAAACTGTTTCTTACTACTCTCTTCCACATACCTCTTTATGGCGCCAAATAGACGCAGTGCTGATAGTCATCGATCATTATAGGTGCCATTGACAGCTGCTGTCGAATGAGCCATTAATACCGTGTGATTACAACTAGGTGCAGGCCCTAGGCCTCTTCATTTTTTCATTATTTTTTTGGGGTTTATGGGTCGCTTGCACAGAGCGTGAAACTGCGTCTACACTGGATAGTTTGAATGGAGGTTGCTTCATTGGATTGTGGAAGTCAATAATTGGTCCACCGTGACCGACTGAAATGAAGCTCACGTCAGTGGAAGTGAAGACGACGAGCGGGGGCAGGGAAGAAACACCCTTGGATTTCACCTGGGGAAACTTCTTGTATCGGGCCAACACCATCCCGTACATGTTCGACATGCTTCCACCTGTACCATAATTCATGCTGTCGTCGTTCCCCTTTTTTGTTATCGAACTCCTTGACACGAAACACATCTTCGCACGGAAACCCACTAGACACGCTACGCTTTCACAAAGAATAATGCAAATGCAAATGCGAAAGGAAGGGAGTGCAGAATACAGCTGAAATATATATAGAATGATTTCATGATGTGATTTCGGTTGGCGATTCCGTCACCTGAGGACGACGAGGGTAGGATTCGCAAAAGTTTCTTAAGCCATGGGTTATTCACCAATATGAATGGAGGAGTCATCTAATACGTATGGCAAATTCCACATGCAATCTTTCCCTACAAGTTTTCTTTTTGCGTGAAATTACAATCATGACCCATTTGGAAGGGTTTTTCATTATGCACTAGCAGGAAGCAGTAACATATTCTCCCTGTGCCAACGATTATGCCTGGGATTGTAAATCTAGAGCAAAATAAATAATGAAATAAATACTGCAAGAATCCTACTTGTGCAGATTCGCACCTGGAGGAAAGATGCCATCACCTTGAGAGAATCCAAGGAGTCGATGGACTCGCTTCAGGACTGCGTTTTCCACCACCGTGAAGAATGGCGCCACCTCGAACGTGTATCTGTCGGATTCAAGGAATCGGTTAATGAATATACCTTCGAGACACTCTGTGAAGTGCTAAACGAATATCTCAATGGAAACAGGCTCGGCGCTCGAACATATCCTCAGAGTGGAATCACGTAATTGTAATCAAACAGGTAACACAGCGGCCACTAAACAGCAATTCGCATGCAAGTGCAAAAGCATGAATTACTGAAGGCATGAAAATTGAACGACCTCATGTTGCCTTGACCTGGATATGGATTGGACCTGGATTCAATCCCCCAAGAGTGACGAGGGTAGTTTTCCCTGCGAAGGTTTTTACCAAGACGAATATGGCAAGCACCCCTAGATTCGCATACATTCATCTCATGCATGCCAATTTTTTTCGAAATTATCATCATGGTCCGTTTGGAAGCTTGCGCGTCGTGCACAGGGTGGAGTGATAGAGATGCTCCCTCGTGCTCGTAAATATTAATGGGAAAATCATATCTAGCAATACGCTGCCTTTGTAGTGCAGATTCAAACTTGAAGCGAAAATGTTATCTTAATGAGGGAAACCAAATAACCGAAGGACTGTGTTCAAGACTGCGTTTTCCACCACTTGGAAGAATTGCGCCAGCTCAGTCAATATACAGGGTGTTTCAAAAGTAACCTCCGCTTTTCAGACTGCTGCCCTCAGGAAACCGATGGACACGACGTTGTGAAATTTGGTGTGTCAACCAATTTGACCATGCGGAAGAAAGCTTAAATGGTGGTTTATGATGGCATTACGGTCACACTTGATGGTACGAGGGTTGTCCGGAAAGTCCTCTGTATTGATGTTTTAAATGAGTTACACTCGATGAATCTTTTGTAAATTTTGGTGAGCACTGTTTATATCTAATAGTATTCACTGCGAAGTTTGATATAAATTTATCCACATTTACACTCGCTGCCGGATATAACATAGTCACTATGAACGCCTCCGTTGTGCAAGAATCATTCTCGGAACATGACATTCGAGTCATCGTCAAGTTCCATGTTCTGCTCAACAACACACCGACAGAAACTCATCAGTTAATGTCAATGGCTTTGGGCCAACGCTGTCCAGCTTACGAGACGATCCGGAAGTGGTCAAAGCGCTTCCTGGAGAGGAAGACGGACCTTGAAGACGGTCTTCTTGAAGAAGGTCGGCGACTTGCTGGACTTTTGCTGGTGTTGAAGCAGAAACTGGTCGCCCACTTCGTGGCCCATCTTCAACTCGTGGCATGTGGTGAGGCCATTGTGACAAACACGTTAAGTTGCTTTGTTATTACTGAAATGTTTATACCAAAGCCCAATGAGCTCAATTCTCTGCATTACTGTGACTTGCTAAAAGCTGCTCGAATATACATTCAGCCTATTCATAAGGTATCATAGGTTACCATGTAGTGTGACCACGATGCCATCATAAAGCACTACAAAACTGTATACGTTTTGCTCCGGATGGTCCTCTTGTCAAATTGGTCTACACGCCAAGTTTCATTGATTTCATTCAGGTCCATTGGTTTCTTGGAGGGAGTCGTCTGAACAGCGGAGGTGACTTTTGAAACACCCCATACATTGCAACCATGTAATTGCTGAGGTTCAATTCAGGAAATGACGGGAATACATTTGCAAAACACTGTCACTGAAATGTTGCGCAACATTTTTCATAAAAAGGGTTTGGCGCCCAACCATTGCATGTCTCTCAGGGTGCAATAAAGATTGTGAGTCATATTACATTATACACCTCGTATTTAAAAAAATTATTTTGTAATTATGGATTCAACGGAGAGAAAATGAGCGTACTGGTTTGTGTTGAGAGCCTCGGTGAGCCAGCTCCCGGCGAGTCCGACCTCGTCCACTCCCCCGAAGAGCTGATTGCGGAAGTAGGGAGAGCAGGTCTTCACGCTCCGCTTGACCGTCTCTTGACACAGGCGGAGCAGTTCCGATCTTCCGACGCCCTCTCCGCCCAGCTCCAGTTCCATTGCATTCTGAGCGACGTAACCTTAAGTTTCAGCTTTTAATCTTCGTCTTTATTGAATATCCTAAAACTCACATCTTTGAATCACTTATTCCATTCATGTTGCAGTATTCCAAAATATGGCCATTCATTTGTAATCAAATTATTATATTAAACTCTAGATAAGAAATTTAGAAGTTAAAAAAGATTTATTTTTAGATACATTTAAACCATGTTACTATGATTGCCCAAATAGCTTAAGAAAACTCACTTCCAGTTCCTTGGGGTGAGCAAAGTCGACGACCTTTTCCTGTCCATGATGCATTCCGGAGACAAGGCGATATTCAAGGACAACCTTGACGACATCTTCTATGAAACAGGAGAGGTCCTGGTCCTTCATGTCCGAGTACAAGGAACTGAACCCGTTTCTCGAGGATTCGTTCCTGTGGACGGTGTCGTGCTTGCAATTGCTCATTTTGGAGCACCTGGTTCTGTAAATGACGTGTCTTTGACGTCGTTAGCGACCTTGACGGGGTAGACAGAAAAGGAAGCCGATTTAAAACTGCTATGTCACAAGTACCCATTCGCGTGATGAGTTTGTTTTTTCCTTCATAACACGACTGATGCCGTGTTTACCAGGCGATGTTCGTGGCTCGATAGCACTCTCTCGGGCATGGAATGCTTTATCTCGTTTACCTCGTTCACTCGCGAGAAATCCAGCATCAACGTAGAAAATTCCCCTATGGCTCATCGACCTTTGCAGGCCGGAGCACACGAAATTGCTACCATTGCTTCCCGTGGTATTGGATAGATTTGAAGAGGAAAGGCCTGGTCCCCAATCTTCTCCTGCTCGTAGCAGAGGACGATTCTTAAGGAAGGGAAGGTTTAATACAAAATCTACATATCATCACGACCATCAATTTCACAGTACCCATTGCAAGAACAAGAAGATGAGGCACCTCCGCTGGCCCTCAGAACCTGTCCGACTGGGACAGGTATTCACGATCCACATCGCTATTCTGAAACTCTGTCATGGATCTTCTGCCCCCCTTATCGAAGAAGCAACGCATTCTTTCCCAGCATCCTTCGTCCCAAGTCTCCATCTCTTGGCCCGGCCGACCCTCCACCATTCCTGAAGAAGTCAAACGTCGCCGATAGCCTAGGGTTCCTCCAACAGCTGATTCCGACTACCGAGAGTTCGACTAGGCCGAGTGAAGAAAGAGAAGTCTCGAGACTCATTTGCACCAGCCGCGACTTCAGCAACGAGAACAAAGAACGTCGCAATCCCCAGTTCAAAGAGGTGCATTCAAGTCGCCCAAATTTCAAAAGTCTCCTGTCAGAAGTCGAGAGGATGAGAGGAACTAGGAACAGTTCATGGACCGTCTAATGGGGGAATTCAGATATCTCAGCCATCTTCGCCGTTGCCAATCCTGGATCTCAGTGCTGGCGATCTTTTTCGTTACTTCGACCCTGTGTCAAGTACCAGCACTAACTTCCCATAATTGACCCCGTCTTCCTTCGTATCTGGTTAGAGCCTTTCCCATTTTTTTTAAGCAAGTGGAGGTGCTACGTTGGAGCAGAATGTGGAAGTGTATTGGAAACTTCGACGAGAGGGGATAAGAGGGATCAATGTGATTTTTACCTCTTTGGCACGTTTGCTCAACTTGAAGGTGGGGGTTGGATTGCGAAACCGACTAATCAACCGCTGAGTTCTGCAGTACCGAACGTGTTACCCTCTGGTTTGCTGCAACCTTTATGGCCCAATCTGCTGGAGTTAGTTCATCCCGAAAAAGGGCAAGTTTCAAGAACTGCAAGGTACTTGTAGGACTTGCAGGACTTCTGGGATTACACTGCCTTGGAGTGGCCTGTGCTCTCTCCCGATATTATTGGTCATGCCGAACAACCATGGATGTTTTTGTTGGTACTAAGAAGTACCGGGAAAAAAGACATCACTATGTTCCTGCCCTACAAAACAGTTTGGTGCATTCGATGACGACAGCTTTGATATTCGAAACGAGTCTCGTGCGATGAGGTCCTGGATCCAGATTAAACCCTTCCCCATCTTCGATCGAGCGCCGGTAAACGCAATCCAGGTTTAGCTGTAATTGGAGGGAAACGATTATCTCTGTTCGTCCTTGATCATCAATGGGAGATTGCATTACGGTCGCTTTCCCCGGAGGATTGCGAGAAAAGGGGCCCCTTGTAATAGACGAGAAGAAATTGGATCCTGCGAAATGAATCTGATGGGAGCGGGCATCTTGTACCGGATGGAGGGGAACGGGTTGGGTCCATGGAGTCTGGAAAAAATGCTAGATCCATGACTCATGACCACAAACCTATTTCCGCTGGCATATACGAATGAGATGCGTACTAATGCCACTTTCTATTGCGAACGCAGTTGGTCTCAATTTGCAGATGGGAAATTCCTCTTCGACTAGCTGAGGCCGTTGTGCGACCCGATTCTTCGGCTGGCCGTCCGGAAAAACAATTCCGCGTTGAAAAATTCAGACGCATCGACCTCGCGGACGAGGAATCCCTCTATTATTCAGGAATTTCGCCATGCAATGACGGCGTCTTTTGCACATCGTTTCGGTCGTCGATTCCTCCCATCGTGTTTGCCTTGCCCAGAAGAGTCAACAATCGCTTCAGAGGTGTATATGGGATCCTTATCGGGAAGAAATGCAGAAGTCTAAGGCAGACTTCCCCGGTTCCCCAGCGCTTTCGTCGCGGTCCTAAAATGGTGGAAGTGCGGTTTCGTCGCATCGTCGCACTTTCAGGGCATTTCAGCGCGGAATGATCTATAACAACTCAATCCAATCGAAGCCCTAGCGGACTCCCCCGATGAAAGTTCTAAAGTACATCTATCATCAATCGCAATTTGCACAGAAGTGAGAAACGAACACCGAGCCGCTCTGTAGCTCACATTGTTATGCTACCTCCTAGCCGCTTCGCCTTCGTCTGCAGCGAAAATCTACCCAGTTTTCCATTCCTGGAGATCAACGTCTTTCAACCGGGAATCCGTGAATCCGTAGTAGAGCCCTGCACGAGCCCATTTTTTCGGAACCCGATTCGAGTCTTGTCCCGCACCCGACTCGAAAGAAATTCCAGCCTGCGTTTCCCAGGCTTGCTTCCGCATCATATATGAATGCTATGGAAATAAAACAGGTACGAACCTGATTTCAGGTTTTCCATAATCTTCTTCATATCTTCGACCTCAGGGAAAGTTTCCATTTGGAATGAACGTAGTACTGGCATATCCATGTCATGTTTATGAAAGGGGATATTATCTTTTTCTTAGAAACAACTCTGTCGATTTGATTACTCCCTCATCAGCAATTCTGTGTCGTAAATATCCTGCTAGACCGGTTGCCGAGCCTGTCCGATGGCACTCCGTTCCCTTTTGCCCTTTTCCCTTTTATACTCTTACAGGTTTCTGTCTCCTTACTTCTTCCCCCACGTGTGACTGAGAGAGATAAATTCGTGTCTCCTGTGACACAGCCTTGAATTTCACCATAGACCTGCTTCCTCAGCTGTAGGACCATAATATTCGGAAAAGCAGAACTGCGATGAGAACGGCCCAGCCGTAGCACTCATAATCGCCTCGTCGCAAGCAAAGTCTTGGTGGAAAGCGGATTTCGCGTCGGAACATCAGCGGACGCTTCCAAGCCATGGGGATGCAGGGATCCTAGCGTAATCAATAATGCTGGAAGCCCTAATATATAGACAGTGGGAAATTCAAGGTGCATCTAGGAATGGCTGGATTCTCTTCCAAATGGTCTTACGTCGAGGCATGAGCGAAGATTCAGCATTTACCGTAAGAGTCATTTTAAGGAAAATTTGTCTCTTAGATGAAATGAAATGAAATGAAACATGCTCGTCGGAAGAGGAAGAGCTATTTAATATGCCCAGCCCGTTCATTGCTGTTTACGTTATGGCATAGTGAAGGCTCTCGACGGTCGAGGTGGAATGCAGGATGAGAAAATGAGCGAAGACTGTGACTGTCAGAGACCTCTGTCGTCTCGGTTGTCACATACGCGTCCCCTCTCGTGCATCGACTCCATTATTAATTAATTTATCGGGTTTTCTCGGCCCAGTGAGCGACGGAGGCGCGTTCGTTACATAAGAGCTTGCGTTTCGACTGGGGTTTCTGAGTTGAAATTGACGCATGGTCCGTTTTCGGTTTGTATTCGCTGTACGGCCCTATGCAATAGGCGGGAATCTGGTTCCTCTACTTCATTTTTCAGAGTCGAACAATGACTGTATTGTAATTAAGAATGATGTAATTTAATCTCCCTAGACGAACATAATTGCTGCCTGCCTGAGAAGGGAATGATCAAGAATCGGCTGGAATGAGATCGGGAAATACCATGAGGTCGCTCGGCATGAAGATTTCAGTACCACTCATGAGTCGGAGCAATCCAAGGAAAGCAATCGATGCCAAGCAATCGTGACCACACGAGTGCACTGGGTCCAAATGGAAAAAGACGAGGGGGGGCTAAAAAAATTGTTGCCGTAAAGGTAGCTGGGATTGGAACTGCACACGTATACACACGAAAGCCGAACTACAACTCTGCTTACGTCCCTCTGTTTCGTGTTGCCGTAGCGACAATTCAGAGATTGGGGCATGCGTTCTGCTCGTAAAGCAGGATTTCTCAATTTGGTATGAATTGGAAGCCCAAAGGTGGCGATCATAGGCTTTCAGAAGCCGAGAACCAATTGTTTCGTTGCATTCGATGAATTCGACTGCAGCGCGACGTGGTTTCGAACAAAGGTCGTTAGTAACCGAGCTACTCACCTGGCCTGGATTTCATTTTGATGTTGGGAGTGAGACCCCATGTGTTCAACACAACAACGATTTTATTTCGCTAAGTGGTTCATCCCTACCAAGAACGACAGACGATGCAGCGAAAATACAGGGGAAAAACTTGCACTCTGACAGTACCGACGGAGAAACTGGAATGCATTCAACAACTTTTTCTCTACACCGACGATTAACAAGGCGTATGTTACAGAAGACGTTAAGGGTGAACCTAATGAACACAAGAATCACAAGTATGACTCGGGCGTAACTGGGAAAAGAATGAAAAGACGGAAAACAAGGTGGAAGGCTCCCCTCACGGCTGGAGATCCCTTCCCAGAAGGCGGATCTCGTCGAGGATGTAGTCCATGTCAGAAGTGGAGAGCGGGGGGACGCAGGTGATGACGAGGCGGAAGAAGTTCTTCCATCCTCGATGCGCCAGCGGCTGATAGCCGATCATCAGACTCCCTTTCAGTGTCATCCGCTCCTTGATCGTTGGCGCAACCTGCGATGCAACCCCCGGGCTCATTTTTAAAAGAACAGTAACAAGACTCGATGAGGGGAAGAAATAATTTCGAGCGTAATAGGTTATGGAAGGGTAAGGGGAGGAGTAATCCGATTAATTTCGATTAATTAAGTGAGATTTCGAGAAATGGTAAACTTGCACAAAATACGCACAAGTAGACAATGCTGAGGATTGATAATATCATAAGTAAACTAAAGTTGCTCAAATTATTTCATTAAAGAGTGTTGCCATTATTGTTTAAGTAAAAATAACTTCATTCTCTGGAAATCTAAAGCGGAAAGTAAAAAAAAAAAGCGATTAGAAAAATGTTGGAAGAAAGGAGACAGTAGGTAAGTGGGAAAGCGATGGCGACCTTTTCGAGTTTTTCCCACCAGTCCTCGTCTTCAGTCTTGCCCCTAAAGGCAGGGGGAATGTACCAGAAGCAGACGTTAGTGCATTCGAATTCCGGCAGGACCAGTCGGAATCCCTCTCGAGACTGCAGCTTCTCTGTCACGTATCTGCAGGCACGCATATTTACACGCTTGCATGAATTGTGCCATTTAAAGAAATGGTACCAGGTTTATTTAATTTTTTTTACATCTTCACCCAATATCATGCCTTTCTACGAATGACATCTCGATGAATAAGGAATTTCCTGGCGCCAAGTTTAAAAGAATTGAGTTCACCGGAAAAAGGACTTCAGAGCCCAAGCGCCCTTTTTGAAATTCCCATGCCCATGCTTCGCTTAAGGATTTCTGCAAGAGGATAGAGCGATCTTGAGACAGGTCAGAAGTGTTTGTAGCTACGTATGATCAATCTTCCCCGTGCTCCTAGATGGCAGGCGGATGTCTAACTATCTCATTATAGTCACTTGCCGAGAGGAAAGGGAAGATGAACTAGTCGTCGAAACGGTCGGAATGACGCCTGAAGGAATACTAAACGTAGAACAGTACTGGTGATAGTGTTAACAGGACTGAGACTTTCAAGAAAGCTTTTCAAGGTACTTTGCTTTCCTCGTCTATCCTCGAGTATTAGTTTTGTTCTAAATCTAATTATTAATTCAGATGCAAACTATTAATATTTTTTATGTTGACTACTGAAAGTACGGCTGAAGTATGGATACGAAAAAGGAGCTTGTGCACATCAACAGGTACTGCCTGAATTCCGAATTGAAGGAAAATTTTTATTTACCGCCCCCGAATTTAAGATCATTCATCAGTCCCAGATGATCTGTGAAAAGGTTTTGCTGCTTTTCTCGAATCGTGCCTTTTACGCAAAAGCCGTTTTCCTGAGAGGTTCTCAATTTCACCAGGTGCTTCAAGTGCAATGACTTTTTGAAGCTGAAGTGTCAAAAATCGCTATGAAGAAGCAAGTTGCTCACCGGGAACTTCATATTGGCTTGCCCCAAAATGGCCGAGCACAAACAGGCAGTCTTAGTGAAGAAATTGGTCTTTAATAAATACTTCTTGGCTTGTAGCTATGAGCCTCGGGATGGGTGACAACTGGTACGTCGACCCGGCACTGCTTGCTGCCTTGCGAAAACACGTCTGAGTGCCCAAAAAAAAAGATAGTAAATTGTGAACATGCCATACCTGGCGCATTGGAAGGCGTTGTCGATCCTCCATTCGAGTCCGACATCCCCCCTGGCCTTCCACATGAGCCAGAACTTGAAGGCATCCACTTTCCTCCCGCACTGTACGCTTTTGTCTCCCGTGTCGTAGGACACGTCGTAAAACTTGTCTTGTTGGAACAGATACGTCGCCGAGGCCGAGTTGCAGTGATGCAGTAGACCCTGCGCAGACAGACTCGCCTCGTAAACCGTGCGACAATTAACCGATAGAAAACAAATGGAAACTGCTGCGGCGTCGGCACCTGTTCTTTCAGAAGGAAAAGAGAGCATTGAAGAGGGGCACCCATCATCTTGTGGGGGTTCCAGGCAAAACTGTCAACTTCTTCCGTGCCGTCCAGGAGATGTCGATGGGAATTTGACAGCAGAACGCTCCCACCCCATGCACCCTAAAATACATTTGATCCTTCATTTGCAGAAATGAACTGACTACGTAGTTCAAAAGTACTAGCAATTTAAACTGTGGCTCTTACAAAGAAGACAATTACTAATCGGTAGAGAGTAGTTAATGATTAGAACTGCTCTACATTGTCTATTTACATTTGTAATAGTTTAATTATTCAAACGCTATTAAAATATTTATGTATTTGTCGCTTGTAATTAAATCTGTAGCAAGACCGAATCACGATAGTAATGGCTGAACAGACATCGACATGAAGCCAGAGTCCGTATTTCTTGCAGATGCGAGCGATGGGGCGAAGCGGATCGAAGGCACCCAACACGGTGGTTCCGGCGGTGGCATTGACGAAAAACGGGACCCGGCCTTCCTTCTCCGCCGCCAATATGGATTCTTCCAGGGCTTCGGGTAGCATCCGACCCTTAGGGTCCGTCTTCACCTTCACCACGTTCTCCGTCCCCAGTCCCAGCCAGTGAGCCGCCTTCAGGATCGAATAATGGCTCTGCCGGATGGAAACAGGTGGTCAGGTAGGTACATTTGATAAGGCGTCCGAAACGTTTTTAATTTTTGGATTCTTGGGATCGTACAGAAGCGGGAGACCCGTTGTGGTTTGAGGGGGGGATTTGAAAATTTGGGGCTGTTTTCAGAACGGGAGTTAGGGGTTTTCGAGTTTTTGCGTCAGTACAGGTTAAGCGCATCTCCGTGCTCAGTCGTTTAATGGAAGCCAACGAAGGACACGTATTCCAAGTGAACCGTTTTGGGATCATCCGAGGATGACACCTATGGACTTATAGTACGGGTAAATTTTTAGGTACGCCAACCTCTGACTTCATGGCAATGTGGATTTTGGGAACAGTGGGGATACAGCGCCCATATAGCCGTCGTGACCTGACCCGCAGCGCTTCGACTCACGTCGGTGGAGGTGAAAGCGACGAGCGGGGGCAGGGCGGAGAGACCCTTGTCCTTCACCTGGGGGAACTTCTTGTATCGGGCCAGCACCATCCCGTACATGTTCGCCATGCTTCCACCTGTACGGGTGCAAGTCCCTTTAACTCGTCCGTCTCGATGGCGCGACCCGTCACCGCGTCGAAGGGGAAATGCACGTGCAAAGGGAGAAAGCAGCCGGGTTCGCGAGGCGGAAGCAATGGATCTGACCTGGACAGGTGATTCCATCGCCTGAGAGCCACGAGGGTAGGAGTCGCAGGACTTTCGCGAACAGGGCCTTTTCCGCCAATATGAACACGGGGGCCACCTCGTACGTATGCCTAGATTCACATGCGATCATCCACATGCAATATTTGCCCGAAATGGTAGTCAAGGTCCGCCCGAAGAACGTGCATCGTGCAAAAAAAAGGGCGTAACTTTCATGCAGCCAACATTCGTGGGGATTCGAAATCTACACCCGATCGAGCAACACTAATCGTGCAGGTTCGGACCTGGAGCAAAAATGGCATCTCCTTGAGGGAATCCGAGGAGCCGAAGAACTCGATTCACGACCGCCCTCTCCACCACTATGAAGAACGGCGCCACCTCGAACGTGTATCTATTGCAGCCAACGAATCGGTACGTGAAATCGCCTTTGCATAAGAATTACCCAGCTGCTTATGCCAATTTTTGCACTGGGAGGAGACGAAAGTTTCTTATCGCGGTTTGAAGCCCTATGCAAATGCATGCGTTTAAACTTCCATCTGGAATTGAAATTAAGGTCACGTTTAGAGATTGAATCTCTGGCCTGACAGTACTGAGGCGATCTCGCCCTTGGTTCGGCGAAGCGTGAATTCCCCTGCTAAAAACAAGTGATTTTGGGCTGCCGACTCTTACGGTGATACAAACCGCAGTATCTAAGTACTTGAACCAGGTACTTGTACTCGGACGCCCAAGTTGAGATCGTTGACGTACTGGTTGGTGTTGAGAGCATCGGTGAGCCAGCTCCCGGCGAGTCCGACCTCGTCCACTCCGCCGTAGAGCTGATTGCGGAAGTAGGGAGAGCAGGTCTTCACGCTCCACTTGACCGTCTCTTGACACAGGCGGAGCAGTTCCGATCGGCCGACGCCCTCTCCGCCCAGCTCCAGTTCCATCGCGCCCTGTCCAACGGGAGATTAACTAAGCGCAGTTCTGCAAATACTTCTGTGTTGTTTGATTTCGTAATATTTATTGGAATGTTTTCACTGATAAGACCTTCACGAAGGACCTTCCGTCTTCGACGAAATCCCGAGCGAGGGACCTTCGATAAAGCGATTCAAGAGAGGGAACCATGCTCGAACAGCTTTGTCGACATAATTTTCGCACGAACGACTCCATCGGAACAGAAACGCCGACCGAGATCATGCCGTCGTCGGCTGCGATGGCGTCTCTAACGCGGAATCGAGAACCTGGAATCCTCTGCCGTCTGAAATACATTTATATTAATCATTTATATTAATTTCATTATTATTAATCCCCCGATATCGGCGCCTGGAAAAACCATGAAGGATCTGCGGGTTTTACGCCAGGAGATATTCCGCGCGAAATGGGTATATTCGCACGGATAATCCCGCTAATCCCATTCTCCATCTCAATTACGATCATCTCACCCTCGCCCCACCGCCGTCGGAGTTACGAAAATCCCC